CTCCTTGTTGTTCAATCCTCTCGCCTGTGAGTTTGAGCTGCGCCCCACCCTTCACACATAAACACTCCACGCTCATCCCTAAACATGTGTGCTCACACCGCCCCACTGAAAGCCTTTCCAAGTAGGTGACTCAGAGGTAAAGCGACAAAACACTCCAAATTTTGAGGAAGTCCAAAAAAAGGGGGATGCTTTGTTAGCCGGTGACCTCTAGGTTACATTCACACCACTGGGACTATAAAGGCGGCAAGAAAGTCGACAAATAGCTGTAATGATCTATGAAAAGATCATTAAAATGAAATGATTCAAAGGAAGAGGCAAATAAAAAGATGAAAGATCAAATGTTGATGATGGATCAAATACTTAAAAGGCGGGCAGAACAGTAAATAAACGGAAATCCTGCAAGTACAAACTCTTTGTGAAGAGGCCCTCTTTCACAAAAACAAGTGCTTTGAAATTCTTTGGCTCTGATAATCGCTATGCAAACCAGGTTGGTTTCAAGTAAAACAACTTCTTGCCAAAGTGGAGGGTATCTTTGAAAAGTAGAAAGTGAAAAGGGGGATGTCTTTAATGTTTTAATGACAACTCTGTTGCTTTGTCTGGTTTCGTACTGTTTGCGATGGGACTGTGTCAAACGCAGCTCTGGAGTAGACAAAACAGTTTTGATGTAAAATGAAATGGTTTCAAAACAAGAAAGAAAACACACTCTTCCTTTGATCGCACAGGCACTAAATGTAGATTCAGGTGACAAGGATGCGTGCTGCAGATTAACGTCACAAAACACTCAAAGTAGTAAAACTTTGAAAAAAAACTTCCCCTGAGCACTTAGTGATAACATATTGTCCGATTTCAAGCGTGTGCGGTTTGGACGGAATAATAACTGAGGAACAAGGCTCCACCGTCACTGCTTTAGATGTACGCCCTGAGGTTCTCTAAAAAACAAAGCAGACTTTGTACTCTTTTCTTGTGAGGACTCCGATTAGACCCATTATTAACAGTCTGACTGCCTGTTTCGTATTACACCACAGCAATGTAATAATTATGGCTGTATTTCTTAGTGACGTTTCACAAACGTCATCAATAAAGACACAAAATGCTGGATCTTAAGCAGGCGAACGAGCTGTAAACAAATCTGAGAGTCTGGGAGCACCAAAGCATCATCTGGCACGCAACCGCACACCGAAACGTCATCCAGTGTTTTGTAACGAAATGCAGTGTTGCATCTAACCGGCCTGCAATTACAGTTAAGCTTCACTTAAGATGCTTTAATTCTTTGTGATCATCATGTGCAATCAGATCCCCACTCTGCAATTTACAGTCTCGAATTGAAAGGCATTTGTGGGGTTTGTCTGACACCTAGTGGAAAGTACAGCAACTATCATTGTAAACTGAAATTCTGTTATGACATGTTAAAAAAATAGAGGTAAAGTTGGTATTACATTCGCACATTTGGACTTTTCCCTTAATTATATAATTTCATAAATGTATTATTTGCAAACTCTAAACAGTGAAATCATATTGACAATCAAAGTACAACATTGTTCACAGTCAAATAAACAGTGTTAATGTTGTTTTCACGTCACACTTGCAGGTTATTTCAGACGAATATTCAAAGTGCTGTGGAAAACAATAGGGAGTGTGTCACAATTGTCACTGAACAAATGTGTGAATATTAAACCAACTTTACCTCAATTACAAAAGTATTTAATACACGACTAGTTTCATTAATGAAAATAACAAAATACTTACGCCATAGAAATACGAAATTGCACTGTATCAGGTGGCTGTTCTTTTCCTGGTCTGACCAGTGTCATGTTAAAGGTAGGTCGGAATATTCTCAGCTGGGGGTTACCCAGTTGGTATAAAGGGTATCTAAACAAAATACAAAAAAATCACATATTGAACAGATTTAATTTCATTAATAGCTAAAAATCCAACAAATTACCGTAGCACTTGAATGAATGCATGCATGTATGGACTATTCTTAGCATAGTCATATAACAACGCAATTGCTGTGATGATTACATGTCCCTAAATAAATAAGCAGCCTTAATACTAAAGTTTTCACCTATTATAAAAGTACCATTAAATAGGAACGACGTGGTCGTTGTTCACATTTGTAATCAAGTACAAAAAATGGCACTATTTTCAATGTGCTGCATTACCATGGTACGTTTCTACGTTAAAAGCGGGGGTTGTTATCGTTCAAGCAGGAAAACGTAATACATCGACAAATATTTGGAGTATTATTATTAATACAAAAATTCAAAGTATCATTTAAATGTATATACAAGAACACCTTGCATTAAGCTAAAGGTAAGTTAGGCTAATGCAATTTTCACGGTTTATATAAGTTATATAACATCAGTAAAGATTTTACTTATTTGACGAACTAAAGAAACATTTTTAAAAATCTCACATTATCCGTTTCGCCATAATCAGCAAATGTTCCGGATTTCTAGTTTGGCATGTGGTGTTTTGATTTTATTTTCATGTGCTCAAGGTCCTCGAACACTGTCGTCCTCTGAAAACTGCGCAGACAGGAGTTTTGATTTTCAAAATAAAAGCCCTCCCAAATTTAAATATACAAAAACTGGAGAACTTTACCTAATAGGTGAACTAAACGAATGCAAGTTTAATGCCTAATAAAAATTAATAAATAAGTAAAACATAGTCTATTTATAAAGTAATGATTTATATTTATACGATTTTCTTAAATATTATATGAGAACTTTTATTATAAAAGATTGGTCATTTCTTCATGTTTCCCCGTGTCACATTTGTATTTCCGACTTATAAACAATCGGGTCCTCAATGCGTTCCTGTCATATACTCGTTACATTTCATTATATTATGCCAATGATAAAACAAATTGAACTTAAAATGCTAACTGTCCACCGAAAACATCTGCAATAAATAAAAAAATAGCGTAGGGTGAATTTGAGTAATCTGTGATACCTAAGCTTCTGTGTGTTTATTTAAATACAATGTGATACAATGTGACCCCACTGCCCTCTGTTGTGCCAACCAATCCCGTCATAATCTTTGACCATCCTTCCCTACTTGCTCATTGATCAATTTAAATAAAAAAGGAACAAAATACTGTTTATTTTTATTGTACTTGCATAACGGGACCCTGTAACTTCTGCCAGAATGCATCAGCTCATACTCAGCACATGTGAAAAATCAGATTAAAAAAAAAAAAAAAACATCTTAGGGATTTCAGAAAAGTCTAAAATGTGGTTCTAATCAGTTAGACAGACATTGAAATAGAGAGCTAAAGTCAAAATTGCAAAAAGTGTCCCAGATAAACCGCATTCACCCCATCATAAGCTGGATTTAAGGTTTTCATGTTATGAATTTAGTCTATTCTTTTAATCCATATGTTCATTGTCTTTTCGGCTTAGTCCCTTTATTAATCTGGGGTCGCCACAGCGGAATAAACAGCCAACTTATCCAGCACATGTTTTACGGAGCGTATGCCCCTCCAGCTGCAACCCATCTCTGGGAAACATCCATACACACTCATTCAAAGTCATACACTATGGACAATTTCACCTACCCAATTCACCTGTACCGCATGTCTTTGAACTGTGGAGGAAACCGGAAAACCCGGAGAAAACCCATGCGAATGCAGGGAGAACATGCAAACTCCACATGGAAATGCCAACTGACCCAGCCGAGGCTCGAACCATCGACTTTCTTTCTGTAAAGCAACAGCACTACCTACTGCGCCACTGTGTTGTCCTAATCCATATATTGTTTGTTGTATTTTCTTAATGTTTTTTTTATAATTTTTTTCAAGTGTCAGTGTTGTTGATATTGTGCATTATTATTGTTCTTGTTTTTAAAAAAAAGGGAAAAAAAAGATAAATCTGCCTTTAAGTCAGATATCCAACTTAAAGTGGTATTTTGAACGTTCTTTCCAAATATGGAATGCAGCAACAACCCTCAAACAATATAATTTAATGATTTAAATAATTTGAAAATAATTTCAAAGGGATAGTTCACCCAAAATAAATGACAATTTCTTTTCAAGTCAAGCTTGATTGTCATTCCGCTACATGTGTGGACATACAGAGGAAAGAAATGGCATGTCTCGCAGAACAATGGTGTTACATACATTAATCTTAAATACAAACACAACACTGGATATAAGCTATTACAGAAAACTACTTATGACTAACATATACTATATAAGATACTACACATAAGACAGGCTATAATAGTAATTTTACATGAAACTGAACAATGTTGTGGGAGAGAGGTATTAAAGGTGAATATTGTGCCGAAGAGGTATTTAAAGATGAATGTTGTGCAAAATAGTTTAGCAAAATAGTGTTAAAATAGCTTATTGGAAAATAAATAAACTGAATTTGTATATTAAATAAAGCATGAACTTATACATTGTGAATACACTTTTAATGTGTGATGAGAACTTTTTATTTATTTTTTTATTTTTTAAATGTGTGTGGTGATTGAATGACAGTGGGAGAAAAGACATTTCAACAGTTTATTGTAAAAAAAAATAAAATGAAAAATAGCTTCACCGATTAGATTTTAATTTGATACTAGCCTTCCATTTATACAAAACACTCTTATTGACCTTCATTTGTTTGTTTTTTAAAAACATCTTTGAAGGTACAACATGTTTGGAAATGACATAGAATAAATGTATTTCCTTATCAAGCATTATTTACCAAGATTTTTTTTTTCAAGTGTTGTTGATAAAAAAAAAAAAAAAATTCCCTCCATCTTGAACATGTTCTCAAGTGGCACTATTCATTTTCATAGAAACCACCTAAATAATTTTTCACACAAACTTTTTAAAGCAACATTACAGTGTTGTGGAGGAAATGACACTGACACTGTGCGACAGCTATATTTTGTATAAAAAAATATTATTGATAATAGTCTCACATTAATGGCTTTAAAATATTTTAATTAAAATGTTATTTTCATTGTTGAAGTTTGTTGAAGCAACAAGGTAAAAACAGTGAGGTTGAATAATATGAAGAAATTATAGAAATGTAATAATTTTTTTAATATGTTTTATTGTCAGTTTGACAAAGAAAGAGAAATTTAAACAAATGTATTATTTTTTGGATATATGATTATATATTCATTCATTTTCTTGTCGGCTTAGTCCCTTTATTAATCTGGGGTCACCACAGCGTAATGAATGGCCAACTTATTTAAGAAAGAAGAGGTGGTTTGTCAAGCCCACTCATCCGAATGAAGCACAATTTAAAATCCACAATGATTCCAAGGGACATGGAGCGATTAAGAAAGTGTTTTGAGTTTCTTCTTTTGAACACACTATGGATGTCAATTTTTTACAGAAGAAAGAAACTAATAAAGGTTTGGAACTACTTAAAGGTGAGTAAATGAGTAGCCCATTTTACAAATACGTTCAAATAATACACAAACAATTTTGGCCATATTAATAATACTTTAGAATTTTATATTGGTGGCTTTGCCCCTATATCGTTGACTGTACAAATATGTACAAGCTGATTTTCACCAACAGGGGGCGCTAAAGTCTAAGTTCAGGCAGGTAATCATTTTTTTAGGAGTCACACGCACACTATCTTCAATTGTAATATGTATGTAGACTAATATATCGTACACAGAATTCACTTTTGCGCAGTTTTAAACATGAATTAATAAAGCTGAACAATTAGAATTACACAGAGCACCAAATTTTGAAAGTAGCTACTTATTTTTAGCAAATAAGGCTAAAATTAAAAATAATCAGCAATATAGGGATAGCCAAGGACCAATTACCAAAAAATATGTTTGGAAGTTTAGTAGAAACTGGATAGTGTAGCCTACATTTTGATGAAAACACTTACAGTTAGTTTGACCACAAAGTATTTATTTATTTATTTATTTATTTATCATTTATTCATTTTCTTGTCAGGTTAGTCCCTTTATTAATCCGGGGTCGCCACAGCAGAATGAACCTCCAACTTATCCAGCACGTTTTTATGCAGCGAATGGCCTTCCAGCCGCAACCCGTCTCTGGGAAATATCCTTAAATTTTTTACATTAATTTTTTGTCATTTCACATTATATTCAAAACTTAGTAAAATGACAACCAATCTCTCTAAATTAACCGTTTGACTTTCATTTTAGGTACGTTATTATTAAAGACAAATTACTGACATTTGTGTTTTTTATACAGGGAAATTACAGTATTATTTATAGAGTATTTTTTCTGTTATTTTAAATTATATTCAAAAGTTCGTAAAAATTACAAACATTATCAGTAAATTAACGGCTTGACTGTTATTTTATGTACTATATAAGTAATGACAAATTACAGCAATTTGTCTGTTTTTTACAAAAAAAATTGACATATTATTTAGAGTGTTTTTTCCTGTTTTTTAAGTACATTTAAAATTACATAAAATTAAAGTAATAAATTGTAATTACTTGCTCTGTAAAAAAAAAAAAAAAAATCGTAAAAAAAGGTTAAATGACTGGCAGCTATGTCTGCCAAATAAAAACCATAAAGTTATGGTAAAATTTCTTTGTTGAAAAAAGTGCAAAAAATAATAAATCTACAGATATTTTCAATAAAATGTTTACAGAAAAACACTGTTATTTTACAGACTTTTCCTAGACAATCACTATCAAATCCATTTAATAAAGTAACACACCAAGAGTGCTCACATACACCTGTTTCAGATTCTGCTGATTGCACACACACAGTCGGAGGATCATTATGAACTAATTACATGCACTTTAAAAGCAGCACAGACGCACACAATCGCTCTTGTTATACTGCTACTGTGAACATTATGATGCGGTTCTCTTCTTTTGCCTTGCTTTGTTTGTTAATTGTTTACGTTGTTTGCTTCCGGGACTGACCATTTGCCTTTTATTTGACAATGACTCTGGATTCCCTGCAAAATGTTACATCTGTTTGCCCCTGTGTTGACTGTTGCCTTTGCCTCTGCACTCATTTGTCAGTGTCCCCTTCATGTTACAGTTCCATTTCATTTAAGATCTGTAACTGAATCATTCCATATAACTTAAACCTCTACATAATTTACATAAACACTATTCAATAAGATGTAACAACTGTAATACTTAAGTTGAGAATTTTAATCAGTTGTATCTCGTTTGTTTTTTTCAAAATTTTTTGATCCAAAATAAAACTTTTAAATTACGATCATGAGCATGTCTTGGCATGTTATTAAAGGTGTTTAACTGTAATGATTTAGGTAATTTTTTTTTAAATAACATTGTTTTCTCTTGAACTTTTAGTGTAGTCACTTTATTGATGATGTTTGATTATAATAATCTAGGAGAAGTCTGTATAATAACAGTGTTTCTTTGTAAAACTCTTAGTGTATACCTTTATTGAACGGATTTGATCGTAATAATCTAGGAAAAGTCTGTAAAATAACTTGTGTTTTTCTGTAATCATTTTAATGAAAATATCTGTAGATTTATTATTTTTTGCACTTTATTTCAACAAAGACATTTTACCGT